TGGGTGTTGGCTAGAACAAGGTACGGAGGGGACCAGGGACGGGGTCGGGGGGACGGTCCAGACAGAATAGGATTATTTCAGCTGAATGATCTAAACCCACACGCCGGCATCTTGAAGACCGTCACGGCTTCCTCCTCACCGTGACTTGACAAAACGTGATCATTCTTGCGCGTCCAGGGTCTCAGTGGGCGCGAAAGCAGCTTTTCTGAGATTCGGAGTCTAGTGGCTCATTATCCGTTCTAACATTCAGCGGAGCTTGGCCAGAGAAGCACTCAGCTGTCTTCAGCGCTGACGTGAAGGCCGTGCAGACGGAATCTATCTGCAGCCATCAAGCCGGCGACCAGCACGGCCCGTGCTCTGCTTAGCTCCGTAGGATCCTCCGTCCCCGTTAACTCCTCACGTAACGTCTGCAGACCCATCATCTCTCCTTCTTCCTTCGTTCCCTCCGTGTGTGTGGAAACGCGGCGCTTTGAGATGGCACGTGACGCAGGAGACCTGGCTGCTTCGCAGGCGACCACCGTGGCGGGCGGTGGGGGGTACTCGTGTCCCCAGCATCGGTTTCCTGAACCGCACACTCGGGGCGCTCGCGGAGCGTGGAGGGCCTGGCCCCGGGGTTTGTGGTGGGGCCCCCCACCCCCACCCCCGCACCCCCGAAAGGCCCACTCGAGCTCACCTGACTCGACGTACTCTTTGACGAGCACGGCGCAGTAGGGGTTGACGGCCTCCCCCTGACAGGGCTGGCAGGACCCGCAGTCGAAGTTGGACAGACCGATCCGGAGAAACGGTGACATGGTCGCTCCCTGCAGAGTGACAAAAGACAAGTGCTATTTGGGGCTATAAAATGTGTCATTCGTGGCGCCCCGTCCCCGCTGAGCCCGTGCTTGTCACCGACAGCCAGGCCTTCGAGTGGCTCCACTGTCCACCCGACCAGACGCTCTCCTGTCCCCTACTGCAGAAGACGCCGCGGGGCCAGCCCAGACCTCGGATTGACTTGCCAAGGACGGGCTCTCTGAAGTCTGCGGTGCTGGGCCTCATCGGTTAGAACTGCAGCCCGTGCCTAATTTAACGGGGTCATTTAATAGCCGCAGAGAGGGGCAGACACTTTCCAACAGTTTATTTCTTCTATTATTCAAGTAGGTGCCCAGGAAAACACCACACGGTCATAAGAAAATGAGTTTATGAAGACTGAGTCTATTTTAAGTCACGTCCATTAAACACGACACCACAAAATTCTTGCATGGGCTATTTATGTGCGATGGAATTGGCTCTGGGCATTTAGCAGCTGATCCCTGTTGGCTTTAGACGCTTCAGAAAGGTTGCATTCTTCACAGACATGTGTGTGTGTGTGTGTGTGTGTGTGTATACACACACACATATATATGTATACATACATATACGTAAAACAAGCCTTTGAACATCATGAACTATTTGAAAATAACTGGCCGCCAGTAAATAGTGCTTTAGTGTGTAAGGGTAAACAAAGTACTTCCTAAAAGCCAGCTAACTAATAATTACGCTAATCTCTTGGAGTTGGAGGTGAAAGTCATCACAGCGCCCGGTAGATGCCAAGGTTCCAGTCCGATGGTCAGCGGCCGGCCCTTCCTTTCCTTCTTTACTGTGGCCTCCCCTTACCTCAACAAACACCCTCCTTTTTAATTTTTTTTCTCTCTCTCTTTTAAAGTGCTTTTTCCCGAGGCCGCGTGACTCTGAAACTGCCGCCTGGTGCTCCGTGAAGAAGTTACTTCCTCGCGCCTCTGTCTTCTCGATCCGCTTTCTCCTGAATTTTCCCACATTTTCTTAAGCCGGCCAAAAGGGACAAAAACAAACCATTGTCTTTCTTACCTGCCTTTCGCAGAGGAAGGAAGAGACTCAGGATGACAGGGACCCAGCTGGCAAATCCGTGGCGGGGCTGGAAATCTCGGCCGTAATCCTGAATCTGGCAGGGCGGAAACTCCTCCGGTCCCGTGGATGCGAAGGGTCTCGGGGTGTGTTCTGGACCTACAGAGAGACAGAGTAGGGGCCCTCGACACCTGCTGTCACCACCTGGGATTAAGGAAGTCCCGGCCGCCCCCCATTTTAGCAGATCTGCCTAAGGGAGATGGGTATGGAATCCTCATAATTTGTTGAGTGTTCTTCGTCTCCAAAATACATTCTGTAGAAGTCACCCCGTTGAGTTAGCAGCTGGGTGACATCTGGATTTAACTTTAGGGAGCCCTTTCACCCTCTGAGCTTAGAATTCTCTGGAGAAAACTGTTTTGAGCCCTCCCATTCTCTTTCCGGGGCCACATAGGTCTTTGGGACAAAATATATTTCTCCAGTGATCAGGGAAAATAATCATCCAGAACTAGCCTCGTGTGTGGGCATGTTTGCCACGTGTGGTCTTCTGGAAGATTTCCTCCACACGAGTCAAGGAAGTGATTCTCGTCTGAGTCCGGAGGGACCTTTGACTCTCCTGAGATACAAGCACTGGCTTTCAGGGAGGGATGTGTCCCCCACCGTTTCCAGGCTGGCTCCAGACGGAGGTGACAGCAGCGTGGCACACACCTGTGAGAAGCCACCCGGGGCTACAGGCACCTCCGGGGTACGGGGGGTTTCTGTGCAGCAGGGAGGAGGGGTGCAGCGAATGCCTCCACCCCTGCAGAGACTCGCCGTCCGGGTCCCCTTGCCATGTCACCGGACGGGCTTGCCCCGTCCCCTCCCCCACGAGCACCCAGTGGTTGCCCCGATGCACACACCTACCTGACGGCCAGCCCACTGCTTCTGTTTCTAAAGGTCTGGCCACAGCGACGCAATCTGACATTGTGACCTTTAGCAGACGGGACTGACATTTGTGTGCTTAACCTCACGCGTGGTGTAACAGAGCCTCAAGTTCAGGCGTGTGTTTTTAAGGCCAGAGGCAGCATTTTATTTCTGAGCTACTCAGAATCATTCCCCGTCCCGTGACAGGAATGTGATCCTTATGAAAAATGAGGAAAACACACAGAATCGGGACGTCTCCTCACAGTGACATCAATAAAAGCAAATCGCCGTTGCTATTTGGACGTGTTTTCTCTAGTCTATGTGTGTGTTTTGTTTTACATCCTGTGCTCCTGCGTGTGCGTGGGACTCTGCTGAGCTCCTAACTCTTCCCCATAAGCAGCGTGCACGCTGCCACACCGTCTCTGCCCGTGCCCTTTGAACCCTGGCCTGGCATTCTGTTGAGGGGTGGCCCTGTGCTGAGGGCTTCCGATTTCACACGTGGAGCTTTCCCAACTTTTCCACGCTAGAAATAACGCTGCGGTCAGCATCCGTGTGCAATTTTTTAAAAAAATTAGGAACGTCGCATCTGACTAGACCAATAGAGCACGATAATATTACCAGAATCCGATGATACTGCTCTTTGTAAGGTCTCGGATCATTTAAAAAGCAGTGGAACGTAAACGCAGAGGCGCGGCCGGCAGTGCCGATGGCGAGCGAGACGGTGAGTAGCCGTGGCGCGTACATAACGAGCACTATGCAACCCGGACAGGTAAACACGACTTACGACCCAAAGACATAAGCAGCGATGACACAAAGTATACGAAATGCAGAAAACATAGCTGCGACTAGTTACATGCAAAAAATGTCCAGCCTTAGGAGCAACTTAAACCAATGTAAAAGGAAACAAGATACTATGTAATTATATCATTGCATTTATAGGAAAAGACAACTTGAAGGGGAGACAAAGTATCAGCGGTTCCCATGGTTAGGGTGGGGGGCAGGGTGTGGCTGGAAAGGGGTAGCACGAGCAAGTTTCGGGGGGAAATCAAACTCTTCTGTAGCCTGATCGTGATGGTGGTCAGAGAAATCTAAATGATCAGAATTATACACCAAAAACAAAAGGCAGTTTACCGTATGATAACTCTAAAAACCAAATTAAAAATATATATTTTGACATTTTAAGGCATGGATTCTAAACCTCGAGGTTAAACAGATAAAATACAAAGCATATGCTTGAGGAAACTAGGAATTCATATAACAAAATATGAAATTTAAATCTACAGTAATCAAGGGTAGCCTCAATTTACTAAGGGGAAATAGAGCCTTAAGAAACAAACAACTTTTACTCTGCGGTATTTAAACTCTTTTGCAATTTTGTATTTTGGTGCAAATGGCTGAGAAAACAACAACCTTAGAATTCGATAATACATTTTTTGAGGATCTATTAATATTCAAGGCTTAACTTAAACTGTCCTCACGGAAGGAGTGACAATATTTAAAACACGGAATGTGCGTGCAGTTAGCACGTTCTGAAATGTTCCTGGCTGTGGCCAGGAGGTTTGCAGTGTGAATTTACACACTCCTTTTGGGCACACCCATGTGCGTGTGTGTGTGCGCGTGCGTGTGTGTCTCGAGAGCCAAGGATTGCGGCAGGCCCGGGAGGAGAGCAGCGTGGAAGCTTCTGCGGGCCGATCTCCCTGCGTGCTAACTGGAGAGGGGAACGGTCTGTGTCCGCAAACGCACGCGTGGGGGTGACATCCCCCAGACTGTCCCCGCCCCGTCTCGCTATGGAGTGGAACTTCCACGGTTGTCCTTTATTTACAGCAAACAAGGGCGTGGAGGGCTGACCGGCCGGGCCAGACGCCCCTCGTCTGAGCAGTGGAACCGCACGGCCCGTTCTCGCTGGACGGCTCCGGGGACCGTCCACCTGCCAGGTCCAAGGGGAACTCACTGTCCTGCCTTTCAAGCCTGCCCTTCCTTCGCTCTGCCGGCTCGGTGACTGGCGCCGTGACCCTTGGCCGTGACCCTCGGCTGAGCCCTCTGCCTAGATGTCACCGCCTCCCTCCTGAGCCACCCCCGGTGTCCTTCCTCCGTCCCCACGTCCGCTGTCCTCTTGTCTGTGGCCTTGGCTCCGTTCTCCATCCCCTCTCGTGCGACTCCTCGTGGCAGCTTTCCCTGCGTCTCCCCATGCGGTCCCGGGCGCCTATCATTCCCGGTCAGGTCTCCACGCTGCTCCCCGAAGGCCCTTTCTCAGGATCGCTCAGGAAGCCTGTCACCCCTCCCCCGGCAGGCTGTCTGCAGCTCTGGGCTCCCCAGAGCGCCCTCTTCCTCCCTCCACCCCGCCCCTACTCCCTCGGCTTCCAAGTCCCTGCTCTGCGTCCACCTGCACCTCTGCCACCCTCCCGCCCGCACGTCGCTGTGGAATGTACTCGGCCTTCTAGGCGCCCGTGGGTCCCCGGGCACACTGCGGGACAGCACCTGTCACGGTCACCTGCCACTTCCGAAGTCTGAGTGTGCTGGATGCGGGCTCTCCCGCTCCGTGTGTCTCCTTTTCTCGGTACCCGAGTCTGGGGGACGTAGGAGACACCCAGGATTTCTCCTATTTAATTCTCGGGGTACCACATATACTGGGAAGAGGGGTGCGACTCACACTATAGAAGTCCTTCTAGTTGCATCTGCATAACTTCCAGCAAACCCCCTCCCCCCGGTGTGAGGGCCTGTGGACCCTGGCTGTTGTCACAGTCCTTTGGGGATGTCTGTCAGCTTCGTGGGGCGGGTGCTCACTCAGCCATGTTGTTCCCTTATGACACTTGATCGGATTCATGGGTTCATGCTGAGCCTCCCACAGCAGATGGAACCACCGTGAACCTCCAGCGCTGACTGCATCCGATACGTAGCAGTCGCTCAGTGCTCTTCTGCTAAGGAACTTCATTTTCAAAAGCGACGTTCTGCATAATCTCTTACCCTCCCTGCATCTCTTTCACCTGCAGGGTGGACCGTGGTCCAGTTAGGTGGCAGATACTTAGAGAGGAAGTCAGCAGGGAGGAGGTGTCCCAGGCATTGCTACGGGCAGAGAAGGTCAATGGCGTTAGCAGCTCAGCGGCAGGAGCTGGTCGACCTCTCCGAGTCTGCGCGTTTGGACAATGGGGATCACACGATTCCTCGTCCCAAAGGACTGTGAGGATGTCAGGGCTGCGAATGCAGGGCGGTGCTCAGAACGAGGCTGGCACGTAGCAAACTCTCAAAAAACGTTGTTGCTATTACTATTGCAACTCCGACATATTTCCTAATGGTCTTTATTGACTTCACTAGTTGGTACCTAAAAAGGGCAGAAAGAAGGTCAAGCATATCTGGGCTGATCGCGCGACCACCATCGAGCTCCCCCGGAGCCCACGCGTCTCTCCCCTCCGGCGCCTGTCACCCTTAACGGAGTCACCTCGACACCGGCACTTCTCGTGATGAGTGTCCGGTGTGTCCGTGCCATCTGTGAAATATCGTAGCATGTGCTTCAGGTTGGTGGAGAACCTTAACTCTCACAGGTCAGTGTTTTCAGCGTTAAGTGTGAGCTCCCTCATCTTTAGCAGGTGGCTACGACGCAGGTAGACGGTCCCGTGCCATGGCTCCGCGGCGTGCCCGAGGCCACACAGGACGGAGCACTGAGCCGAGAGCCCCGTCTCGACTCCGGGCCTGACTCACCCGCTTACGCTGCCTGACTCACTTGCCACGATTCACACCTGCCAAAAGCGTTTGCGGTGCCGTTAAGCACTCCCACCACCCAGCAGAAGCTGACGGGGAAAATGCCGTAGAAATAGGAAGCAGTAGGAGAGCTATGTACTCTCTTCAGCTAAAAAATATCCAGACTTCTCCTCCTCTGCAGCCAGTGAAATAAGAATAAGCATATTTCTTTATTTAAAGAAAAATCTGGACAGCATTTGTATTCCTGTAATTTAGCTGGAGACACCTCCATGGCAGAGGGAGAATCCCACAGAAATATCACAACCTCAAATATGTAGCAGAGAGAACACAAATGATTGATAGTAAACTTGAGTGTGAGGGGAAAAGCATTCAGGGTTTCCAAATGCACCAATTCAGGCCAAATTTGGTAAATTAAACATCAGGCACATTTTGGCACATTAGGCTCTACCTATGGCTTTCACGTTTCCTTGTGAGACAGGTCTCTTAGGTAAAGGCGACTGTTGAATAAAATGACCCACTGCTATAGAAAATAAAAAAATAACTTGCCCAGCAATGTGCA